AAAGTGAGCTCGTTGGCGTTAACATCAGTAAAGTCGTAAAGTAAACGCGTTGGGAATTACATTTAAGTAGAGTAAATTGTGAAAGTTTATGCAAGTGATTGTAGCTAGTAAAGTGCCTTGTAATTGAATTGTGAATCACTGAGTAAATAAAGGACATTAAATAAATTATTTATAAGGAAAGAAACTGCAAATTAGGTTGGCGAGTTTTTATTTAACAATCCAGAGATCGTACCCGAAGGATTCAGAAAATCATTGAGGTTGATTTAGTAAAATTGTAACAATATGTTCTCAAACTTATAACTGTCATCAGATCTCACCAACGACACGCGTTTTAATTTATCAGCTGCTGAGTTTTTAGGTGAGAATTGTGATCCACTCGAAGTGTTGTTAATCTGTGACGGTGCATCACCGACAACGTTTTGCTGTCCTGGCTTGTAAATTGATTTAGCCCTATAAAGTTATTGCATCGGTTTAATTTTGCATTACAACTTTTTTCAGAAATCGAAAAGATAAGTGACCTGTCTAAATTTTTAGATCCGCTATACTGTAAAATTAATTTTTAATTAATTCGTATAGTATATTTCTTCAGTTTGATTGAGAGTTCTAGAGATAAATGAAATAGGTTTCTTGTTTTGAGAAAGTAAGGCTTTTATGGCGAAGTTACTTGCGTCTGTCATTTGTTCGAAAGATTTGTTAAAATCTGGTTGAAGTAATTCGAATTGCGCTTCAAATGTATGTGGATAACATTTTAGCGTTTGAATTTTATTAGGGTCTACGGCTATTTTATTGTACTTTACTGTCCAAGGCATTTTACTAAATCATGGAAAAAATGTAATATATACAATAGTTAGATATGTTTATATTGGAATTGTGAAGTGCGTTTACTATTGGGCGGATATGCTTAATATCTTCTTCGGGTGAGAAGGAATAGGTGGTGTGCTCAAAAAGTATCACGAATTTGAATTTTCGCGGGTTACGTATAATCGAATTTCGATTTTTTTGTGGCGTTATGTTGTACTCATTCAAAAAAATGGATCAAAGAACCTGTATCAAATTTTGAAATTAAGTGCGCGGATGCATTCCGAATGTTGACTTTAGCATACGGAGAAGCTACCTTGGACCGAAGCAACATGTATTGATGGAACAAAATGTTCTCAGAAGGCTGAGAAGATGTCAACGACGGTCAATAAGGAATATTACCTGCAAGTTATGCTCAATTTGTGTGAAGCAACAAAAATTGGCTTTCGAACTAACGCCCCTGCTCACACATTCTTGCTTGTGCGCGACTTTTTGGCCAAAAACAACACACTAATGATGCCACAGCCACCGTATTCCCTAGATCTGGCCCCCTGTGACTTTTTCTTGTTCCCTAAACTGAAGAGGCCCATGAGAGGACGACGTTACGCTACGATTGACGTGATGAAGACGGCATCGAAGGAGGAGCTGAACAAGATATAACAATGATTTTTGAAGTGCTTCGAAAATTGTCACAAGTGTATAATATCTCATCGGGATTACTTTGAATGGGACAAAATTAATATTCATGAATAAATGTATAACTTTTGAAAAAACACAAAATTCGTGATATCTTTTGAGCACACCTCGTATATGAGTACATCGTCAATTTAAACATAATAAACTTGCCAATGTATGGCCGTAGGATATATCGTCTACGCAGCGCTGAAATATAAAATTTTCATTCTTAAGATCGAACGGCATTCTATGGATTTTATACTTTACGCCATTCTTTTAGCATCTAACGTTGTAAAAGCTTTTGCTTTGCCTAGGCTTTGAATAGTCATTGCTACATCTGAGGATTACGCTTTTAAAAATTTTTTACTAGGTTGTATAATTACGTTATCTAATAATTTTTGCATTTATTTAATTGTAAATTCATTATGCGCTATCGAGTTTGGGTACTGTTTCGACCAATTAGGATTATCTAATATTGTTAAAATTTTAATCTTCATTTTCCTTATATATATATATATATATATATATATATATATAAATATGCAGATTAAAATTTTAATCTTCATTTTATTGCTTTCTTTGTTGCACCTGAGTCAACTAAAATATGAACAGATATCTCTGTCCTTTGGTAACGTCTTTGTAGACACGGCAATTCGTTTATTCTCCTAAAATATATCTTCCTGTTTCGTAAGTGGTATCATCGTGTAGTTCTTCATGTTTTGTCTGGTTTACTCGTTGTACCCTCTTTTGGCTGTAGTTTTTTATGGAAAATCCATGGTTGTTGACTTTCTCTAAATGCGTCATAGTGTTGTTGAAATAATTGAAGATTGCTCCTTGGAGAGGGTTACTGTGTTGGTTGCACGTTTTGACGAGACTTATCCACTTCCATCGGTTCTTGGTTTGGTTGGTGATTATATTGTATCCGTAGTTTCATATAGTATCGCCTCCTATATGAAATCTTTGTCGTGGAGGGTTGACTGTACCGTTGTGGTGTAATTTGCGCCTCAAACTGCATATTAACATTATCATGGTATATTGTACAATACTTGCACCTGCATATGCAGTTGCTAAATCTTTTGGGTGGTGGCTATATAATGTGCCACTTGTATACTTGCTGTTAAGTCCTGTGAAAAACGTACGGACTGCCTCCTGATTCACGTACTCTGCCATATATGCAGATCCCTGTATGGTGGTCAATTATAAATGGTTATTGTGAAGGCTGTGTAGTAGCTGAGACGATTTAAAAGTTATTTTACATTTTCCATAAATGTGCATGCCCTTTTCCTCCAGGATCTGTACTTGTTTTTGTCATCGCTGAAGGAAGGTATGGCTTCGAGTGTTTTGATTGGAGCAAACTCTCCATACTGGTCTACTGCAGATATCATCTGGAAATATTGCTGTGATTCCAATTTGTTTACCTATGGTTGTGTGTATTGAAATACTTGTGTAAGCATTTCCATCTGGGCTAGAGTTGCAATGGCCTTGGCCTTTACATTGTAGTTTTGCGGTTTTACGCGTACACGTTGCGTACCCTGGAAACGTTAGCAATCCTTTCGCGAGATGAGGTAACCAACCCGTGTTGAGCCTTGGGTCACGGACAATGAGATAGGAAGCTTCAAAGGAGCTACTTCGACTTATACGTCTCAAGCGTCTGTTCCCAAGAGGTGCGGTGCAAGCGGGTGTCGGTCTTGAAGCAACCGGCTCGCTATATAAAACTTTAAGCTTACTCGCCTGGCACTGGGGTTGGTGGGTCCCCACTTAGAAACCAACTTCAGTTAAAAATTTTGCAACGCCTCGGATGAAATTCCCCCTTTCTCTTGACGACCCCGCAAACGAATATAGGATCACGATTTGGGGGCATGCACCTGGAATGTCCGGTCCCTTAACTGGGAAGATGCCGCCGACACGACGTGAAAATCGTAATTGTCAACTTTAAGGCCAGGGTGGGCAAAGAAGGTATCCTTGGTACGACTGTTGGAAAATTCAGCTTTCACAACGAAACATCCCCTAATGAGTTGAGGCTGATTGACTTCGGTGGGTCCCGAAATATGGGTTGTATGTAGTACTGCGTTCCAGCACAAAAAATACATCACGTTACTTGGCTGTCGCCTAATCGATCCATATTCATATAAAAGGGGACCCCACAACCTGCACTAATTACCGTGGCATAAGCCTCCTTAGTATCGCCTATAAGGTCCTGTTGAGCGTATTGTGTGAAAGACGGAAGCCTACCGTCAACAAGCTGATTGGACCTTATCAGTGTGGCTTCAGACTTGGTAAGTCAACCATTGACCAGATATTGACCATGCGACTGGTAGTGAACGAAGACATGACTTAATATCTCCTGTCATCAAAGAAACAGTCATCGCATTCGCTATTTGGCTCACGTCACAGTCATAACTTTGAAGTCTCTGATAATATCGTTTATCTAGGGACCAGCATTTACACCTATAATAACGTCAGTCTTGAAATCCAACGCAGAATCTCTTGCCTACAGGTGCTACTTTGGACTAAGTAGGCAATTGAAAGATAAAGTCCTCTCCCGACGATCGAATACCAAACTCTGCAAGTCCCTCATGGACGACAGTGTCTAATGAGGCGCTAGGAGTCTTCGAAAGAAAAGTTTTGCGTAAGATTTATGGTGCTTTGCCCATTGGCAACGGCGAATACCGCAGACGATAGAACGAAAAGCTGTACGAGTTGTACGGCGACATAGTTCAGAGATCGAAGAAGCAGCGGCTACGCTGGCTAGGTCATGTGATTCCTATGGATGCGAATACCGCAACTTTGATGCAGTACCCGCCGGTGGTAGCAGAGGAAGAGGAAGGCCTCTACTTCGTTGGAAAGACCAAGTAGATAAGGACCTGGCTGTACTTGGTATTTCCAATTGGCTCCAAACAGCAAGAAGAAGAAACGAATGGTGCACTGTTGTAAATCGGCTGTAATCGCGTAAGCGATGTCTACGCCAGTAAAGTGAGTAGGAAAATTGTCAAAAGTGACAAAATTATAGTGGATGCTTTGTTATGGCTTAAACCTTTCAGCTGGCTGTATCACTTTTAAGATATCTTAAATTTATGACTGTATGGTAGGGAATTTATATCTGTATAATCATCAAAACGAGGTGGAATATAATTTTTGCTCGTCCCTCTGTCGACAAGCATTTTTAAAATTGGTCTTCGTTCTACATTATATACGGTTATCCATTTCGCACAATACGTTAAAATATAATAGTTAAAGCCAACTACAAAAATGGTTACTCAACCATGACGACGATTCGTGCTTTTAGAATCTTCGCAGATATCATAGAAACAATCTAACGAAATTTCAAGTCGGTAACATTTGGAAAACACCCGTGACACTTCCCGCAAATATTTTTCCGAAACAACATTCTCAGGTGTCAAAGAAATAATCTGACGACTGTTCTAGTCAATCGGTCGGTAACTCTTGGAAATTTTTATAGATTACCGGATTTTTTCAAACGGACGGAAGATTTTTATTTATATATAATATATAAAATTATATCTTACCTTTATTTCGGAATAAACGATATCTATAAAACTGCCAAGAACTATTATGAAATCGAACACATTCCATGCGTCTCCAAAGTAATTCTGAAAAGAAATTACGAACGGTTGGTATCAAATAATGAAAAAATACAACGGCGTTGTTATAATATATATAATGTAAGTAAAATAGGGGAAATGCTATGAAAATCTTCTAACTGTGCTTCTAAAGTGCTCTAACTAATACAAACGAGACCATCTGGGAGTAGCCAGAAACGATTATTTTACATATGATTCAAGCAGTTCACGTCTTCCAAGTTTCCTCTAAGTTGCCAACAACATCTATTTGGAAGGATTATCCTGTTGTAGTGTAGGATGTAGGATGAACGCAACAGACCCAACCAAACTAAGATAGGATATCCCCTTTTGATTACCTCCACTGCAAACTCTTGAAGTGTACAAATATACAAAAAATGGTTACTTTGTAATAGAATTTATGTTAAGGGGGAAAGATGGTCTAGAGCGCAAAAAAATGAACTTATTTTGACTCAACAAAGGAATCAATCCAAAATTGTGAAATAGGTTTGGTAATATAGGTTTCGTGTGAATTAATAATTAATTTTTGTCCTGGATCGAAAAATAATTTTTTTTAGTTTCTATATAACAACAGCAAGAGACGTACGTAGGATTTTTGCGATATTTAGTTTTTTCGCGAAACGGTGCACGTTTGAGCAAAAAGTTACTATTTTGACTATAAAACGCGATATAAAATTGTTTATTAAAAAAAACTATGTAATATAAAAAAATCCTACGTGCGTCTTCGGAGAACAGTATTTCAAATGTACTGTCAAAATTTCGTAGGAGTCGGTGAAGATTTGTTAGACTTATGTCTACGGCCAGTTTAAAAAAGGTGATTTCGAGAAAAACGCGTTTAAAGTTGTAGGTCAGACATTAAACATTTTTGCCGGCATTCGTCTTCTGGTATGTTATTTCTAAGACCCTAAAGCACTTTTTGAGACAAAAAATTGTTTTCCATGTTTTCAACATTCCAGACCAGCTTCCCCTCTTAAGAGAGAAACTTTGCCTCTGAGTGTTAGTATGCACCTCATAGGTGAACAACTTCTAATCGAAGTTTTTCAACATACCGCTAATATGCGTCCACGGCTTGGAAAAATGGACTATGGGGCCAAATATACTTACTTTTTATAAGCGTTTGCATGATTTCAAAGTAGTATGCGGCATTAACCTTAAGGTGGTCAAAGAAGGTATACTTGAAACCTGGTTGGAATCTGAGTATGCGCTTCTCAATATATTGCGAGCGGGACCACAAGGCAGTGTTCTTTTTTGATTCTCTAAGTGCTCGATTACCTATAACCTTTAAACAGCTACTCTTGAATTAACGAGATGGTTTTTTACACATGTGGTGTTGAAATAGGAAAGTGTCATAAGTTTTTCATGAAGTATTGCGTATGTAAAACTGCATCAATTTGCACTTTTGCAATGCAAAAAACACATATTTAGTGATCCTCGTCATTTTCCCTAAGCAATATAAATGTTTGCAATTTCTTGGAATTTCAGTCTGCAGTTTGCTTGACTTAGTTTTTGTAATATTGTAGCGAAAATGCGAATGGAACGTCAGATGAAAGAGAAAAGCCGATAACTAGAACATTCTAGAGCGATAAAACTAGCGCCTTCGATATCGAACAACTCGATTATTCTACACTTTCGTCTACGAGCAGCCGATTGCTATATAAGGGCGACACTCAGCTGCCAGCATTCAGTTACAAAGTGAACTCGTTGGCGACAACATCAGTATAGAGTATAGCGGAATAAACTATTTGTTTATATTGAGTCGTAAAGTAAAGATGTTGGAGATTACATTTAAGTAAAGTAAATTGTGAAAGTTTTATACAAGTGATTGTAACTAGTAAAGTGTATTGTAATTGAATTTTAAATTACTGAGTAAATAAAGGACATTAGATAAATTCTTTATAACGAAAGAAACTGCAAATTAAGTTGACGATTTTTTATTTAACAATCCAGAGATCGTACCCGAAGGTTACAGAAAATCAACGAGGTTGATTCAGCAAAATCGTAGCAATTTAATATTTTCTTATGTAAAAATAAAACATGTATCAGCATGACCATTATAACAAGGTTAAAAATATGAAATTATATCCATAAATAAAAATAAATTACATTTCTTTACGGTCCATTTCCATATGTGAACTAATAAAAGGATTTGAAGACATCATAAGCAGGTCCATAATTTGATTCTGTCTGATTCTAGGGTGGTTTAGACAACACTACTTATGATATTATTTTTTTTTTACTTACTGAGCATCCTCTGATAGTTCACTTGTAGGGAAGGAGTGGTATTTATTTCATTAGATCTTTTCCATGAAATATTATTCTATGAAGTGTTGGTGGCATTTCTAACTACAATATAATTCATTAAGCAAGTGAAGAGATTCAAAGGTATACAGACTAAGTTTCTCAAGCGAGAATTCAATGCGAATCATATTTTTTCAGGTAAAAATCATCTAGATTTTACAGCAGCGCTGTCGTACCCACTCCATTGAGAAAGGCCCTAGTCGTATTACCATTGTTCTCAGTGACTTATTTTTGAAGTTTTCAAAATGGCAAACACCAAAGCACAAAACAAAAACATAAACATGGATAACTAAAGCGGAATAAAGTTGTTGGACTCGCGAATGGCAAGCTTACCGATCGTCCGATGCAAAAATCCGACTTGAGGTGGTAGAAAAATACTAAAAAGGCATTAAGATACGAAGAAGAAAGAAACATTACAAATCTTAAAACGCCTTTGTCTCTCAATGTTTCTTCTACAAAAAATTAGCTCTGGTCAGCTATCAAAAAGCTTAAGCCACCAGTAAATACTGAAGCATCGTTGAAATCATGGCGGTATCTCAAGCAAAACTTATATAAAAATGCACCTTTTTCACCGAAAAGATATTGGTTGCATATATTCATGTTTGTTTACATGTGTGTGGCGGCTGCGGTAGCTGAGTCGTTAGCATTGCGTACTGACATTCGGAAGGCTCGGGCCGATATCCCGGTGCCACCAACAACCAAACGTTATGGAAAATTAATTTAAATAAAAAATGAAGTTAAATTTACTAATTTCGGTCACCTCTTAGCAGGGAATGCACACCCCTTCGTGGGTATTTCTGACATAAAAAACAAAAGTTCCTCATAGAAAAATCGTCAGCTGTTCGGAGGCGGCTTAGCATAAACTGTAGGTCCCTCCATTCGTTGGTGAAACAGAAGGACACAAAACCACAAATTGTAATATATTGTATATATATAATTAAGGACAGTGCGACCAACGTAACAAAAAAAAATGCTGAAAGTATTCACTTTCTGGTGTTATTGTGTGCAGAAAACCTGACTACAAATTCTACCAGGAAATGTTCCCTTGTCCAAAAAAATTTCAATTTGTCCAAGTTATTCAATGTTTTCCTTGACCACATATAGATGGTGCATCCTGTATAATATATGCACATATAATTCTTGCTTTTCCTTGCTTAAATTTACAAAAATACCACGTTTCTCTCCGGGAAGTGGACCGGGGACTGACTTATTTAAAAAAAAAAGAAGTTATTAATAGATCGAATTATTTGAAATTCCTTACTTAGGAGACTTTTTGGTCAGATTAACCGGAAGATTATACTATAATCCGGTAAGTGGACCAGGGATTGACCTATTCTATAAAACTTTATATATTTAAATGAACAAATAAAATTCAATTCAATAAAATTAAATTCGGTACGCAGATGCCCTTTTGCTTGGATTAGCAGGAATACTCTTTCTGTCGCCGGAAAGTGGACCAGGGACAGACTTATTCTTGCATCGTTTCCAGGTTTGGTTATCATGATAATCTGCGACTTTTGGAAAATATTAAAGTTCAAGGATGGCATTAAAAAGTTAAGTCAAGAAATTGAAAGCAATATTTGGTAGCTCTGTTAGCATTTGTTGTGTTATATTGCCGTTACCAGGCGACTTTTTGATATTCAGCGCTTTTCTATCACTTTTATAGATAAATGTATTTATATTTATTTTTATATATAAATAAAAACTTTTATAATTTATTTATTTAAATCAAATTTATTTCAGCAAAACATTTGTATTTGAGATCGAAAACTATAATAATAAGAAAATGAAAATATTTCAAACTTAAAATTCGGTAACATAAAAGCTAAAAAATTCAAAATAGCAAGTAATAAATGTTAAAGTAGATTCCTACTTTTACTCCCCCTCCAGCGTAACGAATATGTAATAAAAGTAATTAAGGTTAAATGTAACTTTTTATGTTTAGTATTTGTCAGTGTTTTAATGTTATTTCCATATTGTATTTCCAAAGTTTTGTCATGTTTGAAGATAACTTTAAATGGTCCTTCATAAGGGGGTTGAAGATTAGCTTTATGAATAACTTTAACAAATACATATTCACAAGTACTTAGATTTTTAGGAATGAAACTATTTTCTTTACTATGATGTATTAGTCTCGATCGAACAAGTGAGAAATGTTTTTTCTAATTTAGAAAGAATATCATTTGTATTTTAAATCTCGTTATTTTTATTATTATTGGAAACAATAAGTTCACCCGGAAGCCTCAGTGTTTGATCACAAACTAATTCAGCTGAGGATTATTTTAGACCTTCCTTAAGCGCTGTTCGTAAAATAATCCACGGTAAAAATTCAGACCAATAAACTGAATCATTTGATGCTGTAATTGCAGTTTTCAAAGTTCTATGAAATCTTTCCATCATTCCATTTGATTGTGGATATGGAAATGAAAATGTGTGTATGTGTGTATTTTGCGCTGAAATGTCTTTAGGTGGATATGCTTCCGGGCATCGATTCTCTTTTGAAACTGGAAGAGGTCCTAGTAGATCCATATGAATATGTTCAAATCGCCCAGAATAAAAATTAATCTTTTGAATTGGAGCTTTTGGTTTTCTAGTAACTTTAGATTTCTGACACTTAATGCAAAATGTAGTCTAACTATTAATTTCTTTACGCATATAAGGCCAAAATATTAAGGTTACATAAGACGTCGAGTTGTTCGAACACTTGGATGTGT